CTTCCAGTCTGAATCTACGTAACCCATAAAACCCGAGTGAAGAATAGTTGAACCAAAAAGATCCAATCCCGCTCATAAATCTGGGAATTAATCATATCAATGATGTTAAAATATTTTTTTATGGCTTAATAACACATTCATTATAGTTGGGACACCCTTATCCCAATAGCTGAAAATGACATGTACAATGGTCATTTTGAGATAAAGTTTTGGATGATATTCACCTTTAAATAATTTAAATCGAATCAAAGTAAATTCAGAGGTTTAATTCAATGGATTAATCATATCGTATTTCAACACAGTGTATGATTTTAGCTTCAAGGGGCTAATTTCACCCATTCTCCACTAATTAAATCAAGAAATAATGGCATGTTGCTTAATTGAAAAGAAAATGAAAAATCACAACTTGTTCTTAAAGAACGAAATTTTTCGTTCAAGAGCCCCCACACTCCGACCCAACAAGACAACGGAGATAAGGAAAAGAATCACAATTGCCTGACATACATCATGTTCTCACGCACCATTGAGCTAAGCTCCTCATTCAGAGGGCTGCAAATCTTCTCCAACACCATCTCCGACCACCAAACAAACAAATCCAAAACCCCACCCTCACACTCTCGCCGGAAAACGCCATCGGAGACTTGGGCCCTGCAAAGCGGGCACGTGGAGTGGTTCTGCAGCCACGCATCAACGCAGTCCACGTGGAAACAATGTTCACACTCGCTCAACTTCCGGCACCTCTCGCCGCCGCAGATGCCGTTCAGACAAACGGCGCAGAAAGGCCGCTTCTCTTCGTCGGTACTGTCGTCGTCAGCGCTGAAGGTGAACGCATTTGGGCCGTCGTCGTCGTCGTCATCGCGGTGGTTATCACGGCGGAGCCACAAGAATACCAGGACGCCGGCGGCCAAGGCCAAGGCTATCAACTCCGGCTGAAAATCCATATGGATGGATGTGTTAAGAGTAGGAAGATATGGAATCTTATATATGCATGCCAACGTTAATTATATATGAAAAAAATCCATGTCAAGATTCAAAGAAAAAAAATTTAAAATTTGAAATTAAAAAATCATTTCTTAATATAATTAAGAAATGAGTAGTTTGATATAGTTGGTAGTTGAGTAGTGTACGTACACCAAAGAAAACAAACATATGGTCATTAAGAAATGTAATTTGGATTAAGGATAGTTAAATTAATTCCTTGGTCATAGTAAACTATACTCCTTAATTAATTTCTTGATCTTTCTAATTAATTCTTTGGAAAATTATAAGAATTCTCCAAGCCAAATCAATCTCTTCAAGTGTCTTCCCCAAACCTAAAGGTGGCGAATAGACAGGCTGACTCGTCATTGATTAGTTGAATTGGTCAAATAATTGACTTTGTAAGCACAAAGTTTTAAATTTGACTGGTTGTGAGAGATGTTTTTGGCCACTAAAATCATAAGACATTCATTTAAAATATACCTTCAAATACCGAACAATTGTGGCCTTTTCTGCAAATAAAAAATTACTAAAAAGTCTTATCTCCATTGTTAGTTACGTTACATTCACCGTTGTAAAAATCGGTCCAGGTGTCCGTAAGTCATGGCGATTTCCCCCATAGGTGTCCGCCTAGGTGACCGGCCCACCTAGCGCGTAATTTAGCCGAATGTCGCCGCCTAAACTGTTTAAGCGCTAATGCGCTATACGCTACTCTACTGCACCAACTAACGTCTAGCGCCTAATACAACCATGGTTACATTACCACTCGTTACTATAAATGTGTAATTAATGAAATTGTATTGGAAAATATATCATAATCATAAAATGGCAGGAAAATTCCAAGAGAAAAAAGTCAAAAAGCTACAAATTACAAAACCAGAAAGCACGCAGTCAAAGGAGAATAGATTTAAATTATTTGTAATTCTAAAGTAAGAAAACACTTCTCTCAACGCTGGACTTTTGTAACGGCATTATTGGATATTGCAAAAAAAAAATGAAATAGATAATTATTATTTTATTTTACATTGTTCTAAACTAAGATTTGACAAGAATCATTCAATTATGTTATAATGTACATGAATCAAATCACACTAAAAGATTGAATTCAATCAATTAGTTAACTAGTTTAACTCATGGCCTTATAAACTCATATGTTCTCTTTTATTTTATTAATGTGAGACTCTTAACATTTATAAAAATACATGAACAAAAATGTGAAATTAACCCTTTAATTACTTAGAGATGTTTGGTTTAAGTTAATTATCTCACATATATAACATCATGAATGTGTGAATATTGTAATATTATATTCTTGTGTTTAGCTTAGAAGATGTGAGGTTATTGTATGGAATTTAGAATTTTTTTAATTTAGATAAGTTCAAGCGAAAACAATACTTCCAGTAAATTAAAAATGCAGAATAATCACTTAATTATGTCCATTTGTGATGATCAATATAAGTGATTGAAAATAAAATTGTGGTGGCAATATGATAAATATTACAAACTTTAAAAGTGTATTAATTAGGCAAAATTTCACATGCATTTGCTGATATGTATGTTTTGGTGTATCCAACTCGAATGTACTTTTACAAATCATAAGTACCCTAAAACTTTGCCCAGTGCATTTCCAAAGTTTCACTATACATTCACTAATATGTTACGATGCATTCAACTTGAGTGCACGACTATATGCACTCTAAAGCTTTAATTTGCTCAGTACATTTTTAAAAATCCGTGATAAAAGTGTGTTTGGGGTACACACAAAATTATGATCATGTGAGAGAACAATATTTCAAGTAATAAATGTGGAATAATCTTATTCGTCCTCCATTTGGATTAAAACAACTTTAAAATAGAGGGAAAGAAAAAATATATATATTGTGACATTTTTGTAATGTAAAAGTACATAAATTAAACCAATAAATCATGGCATAATTAAAAATAAATAAAATGAAATGAAATCATAACCGACTACCATGCATCCCCTCACACAACATTGAGCTAAGCTCCTGGTTCAGAGGGTTGCAAATCTTGTCCAGGATGATCTCCGACCACGAAACAAAGAAATCCAACACCCCACGTTCATATTCACGCCGGAAAACATGACCGGAGACTTGGGTTCTGCACAGCGGGCAGGTAGAGTGGCTCTGAAGCCACGCATCGACGCAGTCCACGTGGAAACAATGCCGGCACTCCGTCAACTTCCGGCACCTCTCGCCGCCGGAGATGTTGTTCAGACAGACGGCGCAGTAAGGCCGTTTTTCTCCATCACTGTCATCATCGGCGCTGAAGATGAACGCCGTTGGGTCTTCCTCGTCGTGGCGGCCGTCATCACGGCGGAGCCACAAGAAAACCAGACAGGCGGCGGTGCCGGCGGAGGCGGCTATCAACTCGAGTTGGAATTCCATTGCTTTAGACTAGAAAAAAGATGGATATTCAAGTTAGCAAAAGTGTGAAAATGAATCTCTTATGTGCAGAATCAACGACAATAACTAACTGAGAGATTATTCTGATGATTCACGGTTTACCTTTTCCAACAATTCTTGAATAGATGTTATGGGGATTCAGAATTAGTCTGAAAAAATGGGAAAATGAAGAGAGAATAAGGATGTTGTAATGTTGTTTAAGGTAAGATTAGTGAATTAATTAATATGATGATTTAGAATAGGCAGAGGAGTCTTATATATGCATGGCGGCATTAATTATTAGGAAGAAATCCGTGTCAAGATTCAAAGAAAAGGTCAAGAAATCCATTCCTTAATATAATTAAGAAATGACTACTTAGATATACTTTGTAGTATATAACACACGCACAAAAAAACAAACATACGGTCATTAAGAAGAAGAAGAAATGTAATTTGGATTAGGGATAGTTAATTGGTTGGTCAAAGTAAACTATACTTTCTTGGTCTTCCAAGTTACTTCTTTGAAAATCTATTGGAATTCTTCCGGCAAAATTATCGGATAGATGAGTGTAATTATGTGACTTTATAATATAGAACCATATATGAGACTCTTTCAAAACCATCTATATCCATGCATTCTTTATCACAACTCACAACTAACCAAAATTAAACTTCAAATTTTTAACCACCAAAATTTAAAGTTTATGATCAAAAATCATATTTTGATTTTTGATTTGGTATCAGAGTAACTCAATGTATGAGGTCATGAGTAAAGAGACTAACGTAGGATTAATGTTTTACTCGGAGTTTATCAAAAAGTAATCAGTCCACTTAAGTGATGAGAATGTAGAGCATATGTATAACACATAAACATAAATGTATGTGTAGTCCAATTAATCACTCCTTACCCACTTAATCACTCCTTTTGTGCATTACTTTTGAATTTTTAGTATCACATATAGCGGTCAACCCTTCAGCACTGTTTTCTTAATCCATTTTTAATTTTTCTCTCATAAGCTATAACTATCTTTTCAAATACTCATGCCCTGGGAAGTTGGAAGGCGAACCCTGCACCCTCACTTTCTTAGTTACGCTGCACCCCGACTCGTATCTCCACGTCCACTTTTATCCGCTCAAAACCCAATAAGGTGACTTTGCCAACACAACATTAGGGCCGTCTCCTTCATTCTATGCTGACCCCGGCCCGAGCTGGCTTTTTGGAAAGCCCGTTCCCACCGCACTCACGGCCCGGCTAGCCTGCCAGCGGTAGTGGGAATTCTCCCGTTCCCTGATCAAAGACTTGGTTGGATGCAAGATCTACTCCACGAGGAGCAGCACAGACGTAGATGATATCATCACGACCTCTCTTTTCATATCGCTGGGATGCTTAACGCCACTTCGCCCTTGGAAGTTGGAACTTGGAAGGCGAACCCTGCACCTACGACTACTAGCTAGCAAAACAAAACTACTCAACTTATAATCATTGGTAGGTAGGGTTTAAACTCTACCACCAGGGTTATTAGCAAAACAAATTAAAGCTTCTCAAACTTATTTTGAATTAATTAAATGACCAATTAAACTATACTTGAGGCTGAAGGAAGTAGGATACATTATAGGTGATGTTGAAGAGGCCAAACACAAAATTCTCAATTCTCAATGTAATCATACAGTACATTATTTCTCACAGTTCATCCATTCATCCATATAACTAATGGCAACAAAGAGGCAATAACCTCACTCAACTTCAACATATATTATATGGTTTTAACTAAAAAAGAATATTGTAACCATCTGTATATAATCATCTCTATCACAGATACACAACACAAACCAACTCCCTGCAACAACAAGAAATCTGGCATCTCGCCTTACATTCCTCAAGCTCCAGCAACCTGTAATATACAGTAAACCTGTCAGCTCCGACAAAGAAAAACGCTGCAGAACCTAAACCTGCAAGGGGAAGATACACGTGAATTCCAAAATGGGTAATCATTGGCTTGATAGTTTTACATTAGGACCTGCAATCTTAAGGGGGCGGGGATAATGAGTCCTAGATCGGTTACTGATGAGAATCTGGGCTAATATATAAGGCTTGGGTCAAACCTACACTCATGAGCTAGCTTTTGTGGCGTAGTTAGGGCCTAAGTTCATATCAATATTGATGCTATCATGAATGTTTTCTCAGATCCAACGATAGCAATGCTTTACCTTTGCATCTGATGGTGTGAACAAAGCTTTAACCGCTTCAAAAACTTCATCAGCAGGCTTGGCAGCATCGATCTGAAGGCAGCACATGGTGTTAGCTGTCGAATAGAATGTTTTTTCTTTGCTATTCCTTCAAGGAAGGGGTAAGCTTTACGTCAAAAGTGAAAGATGTTACCTTTTGAACCTTTCCCTTTGACTTGTAATATTCAATAACAGGGAGGCTAGATTCCATGTAAACATTAAATCGCTTCCTTATTGTTTCTATGTTGTCATCTTCTCTTCCCTTGGTGCAAGAAAATAGAAATATCACGAATCAAGAGAATTGAAAGGAGGCAAAAACACACCAAACAAAGATCAGAAACTTGCAAACTATATATCAAACCTGATTCCGACCCAAAAGACGCTTCTCCATCTCTTCTTCAGGACATTCAAAGAAGAGGACAAATTCGGGCAGAATTCCAGTCTGTAAAATAACGAATATTATTTTCGTTTACATAATAAAAATGCTTGAGCAACCAGCTTGGTTGGCGTGAGTGGCCGTGCACCCTCATCCCTTAAGAGAGGTCGGGAGTTCGAGCCTCCTCTCGTATGGAAAAATCAATCTGGCCAGCACTTTGCCCCTTAATTGGGCCGGGCCGGTGCAAATGGGGAGTAGTCTGGGTATGGTACGGGCTTAAAGGTGCCTCCAACAATTAGGGTCTGCTCAGGACACCTCATGGTCTGACAAAATAAATAAATAAATAAAATGCTTGAGCTGCTAGGTAACACCATTGCAACTTATCCTTTACTAGACTTACAACACGCTCAAAAGCTTCACGGTTTTCCTCGTTGCGAGGGAAGCCATCAATAAGAAACTTGTCGTTCTCATGTTCTTGTATTGCACGTTGGAGGAGAGCAATTGTTACTTCAGAAGGCACAATTTTTCCCTCTTTGATCATGTTTTGAATCATTGTCCTATACATGCAAGGAGAAGAATTATTTAGAATCGTGAAATAAGAAGCTATTGAAGAAACAAAATGCAGACTATGTAATAGTGAATCACCATAAGAATCCATTGTTTTATGGACCCTAAATTGTTTATTTTACTTAATTCTTGAATTCAAAGACTCAAACAATCATTTACGTCATTTGATCACATCAAGAACAGGAAGTATGGAGGTCAAATTACTCTATAAATTAAACAATTACTCCGTATTAAAAATCTGAATCTTGGGTGACAAATCAGATACCGAGAGGGATTGGTACAATGGAACAGTACCCATTTTCAGAACCAGACTTGATCTCTGCTCGAAGGAGATCCCCAGCACTTAGATGGGTGTACCCGAAGTTTTCAACAATTTTTGCACACTGTGTGCCCTTACCACTTCCCGGGCCACCTGCCAAGTAAAAGAGTGGAAATTACTAAAATTTGGGAGTTAATGCATTGATTATTCACAAACCGTAATCCAAATCATAAGATTTTCCAAATAGGAAATTAATAAGTTCGGAATACACTTATTTGATGATGGATGGCTTATGTTAACATTCACGTACTCACCTAGGACAAACACAACCTTAACCTTTTTGTCAGTGGGGATGCTTCCATTTGCTCCCTGAAATCGAAACTTATTTATCAACCAATATTCCAGATATATAACATAAAACTCATCCCTGCTTCTAAACATTTTCGATTGTGCATCAGAAAGACGAACTTCAGCAAATTTAGGACACATTTGCAAATTCCAAGTATTTGTCACCAACCCAGAAAAATGCACGAGAAAGTTTCCAAATTCAAACCTCCACCAATGCCTATAGTAATGACTGGAAATAAAGGTACCTTGTTTGCAGAATCAATAACAGTCCCCATGAATGGCAAAAACTAGCTCGACGAATAATCTGCATACACAGACTCAATATCACAATGCTACCCAGAGAGAACCAAAGCAATTATACAATCGCAAATAAACTTTATCAATTCTTCTTCTTCACACAATATAAAAATGTAGAACCAAACGCAATAAGAAGCAAATGCCATTAGATCCAGAGAGTTAAAGACTTAAAGCAACCAAGAACATGAACTATCGGACAATTCAAGGACTAACACGTCCAGATCTAGCATCTTACTGGCACGAGAAAATGTGTCAACGGGAGCACTAATTTATCCAGAATCACTTAAATAAACACAATTATGTTCTATGGACGCCCCAGACGAAAAGATATAACTGAACTTGTCACATTAACAAGACTACGGCATCACTATTCTTAGGCAGACATGATAGATCTGATTCCATTATCATCATATAACAAGCAATTCTGTCATCATACAACACACCCTGAACTTGATTCCTTAATCACAACCCCATTACTAACTTCAAATTCCATCAAAATCAAATCTTAAAACAAAAACTCTAGTCCTCATTTTACAATTAACAAAACAAGCAGCATACATTCAAACACCATTCCAGTATTCAAAAGAAAAGAAGGCATTAAACATGCAAATGGCCTATAATTCCAACCAAAACACAACCCACAATAAAAGGCAACTGAAGATCCACGAATCTAAACCCAGAAAACGCGAAACTCAACAAGAACAATCAAACCCCAACTCAGATCAAACCCAACAAAAAACAGAGAAACCCACAAATTAACAAGCAAAGTCGGAGAATTGGGCCTCAAGAAATGCGAACTAAAAGAATCATCAAAATAAAGCAAACCCGATGATCACAGACGCGTAAAAACGCAAAAGTAGAAGAGAAAGATGCGAGCTTTAGATTTACCAGGGCGAGAGGAGGGAGGGAAATGGAGATCTGGGAGAAAGACAAGGGAAATGGGTGCGAAAAGCGGGTGGTCAGTTGTGTAGTTTATAGGGAAGACAGCAGAGCGGTGTTTGAATCTTGGAAGATTAAACACTGTTGGTTGTCGCCCCACAACCCACAATTTTGTGCTGCGGTTCGGTTCGTTCGTTCATGAACCCCCTCACCCTCACTTTAACTAATCCGGCAAGTTAGTAACCGCCAAGACCAACCTTTGTCTCCTCGCGATAAAGATATGTGATCAAAGTATCTTACTTAAGTCATTGCCTCATTTGTGCCTTTAAAGGACACCTACGGCCTACCTAGAAATCAATTTAATGTTGTTCAAAAAGTGTCAAATTGGTCTAGTAAGTCTAACAAATATTGTAATTAACTTTATTCGGTAAAATAGTGTAATTAATGTGGTGTTAACTAAGTTAAAACGTGGTATCCTATATTTATGTGGATCATGTGTAGGTACAATTAGTTTATTTTAAATGTTATTACTCCGTACTTTTTTCTTTAAAAAAAGAAAAACTTTATTTTTTATTTTTATTTTATTTTATTTTTTTTAAACAACTCCCAACTGTCGACTTGACAGCCGGTGGATGTTTAAGCGTTGCCCGATCTAACGAAGATAGCCATTGGTCGCCTTTATTCCTCTATATGACATAGGTAGTCATGGTGCCAACCTTCATCATATTTGTCCCTCGTTAAGAAGTCTTGATTTAGACATTTATGTCAATCTGTCTAGTCCGTTGACCGACTGCTAAATATGCAATAATATGATCTAATTGCACTATTTTGTTAGTTTAGGAAACTTCATTGAAGTTTTTTAAAGTTAAGAGACCCAATTGCACTATTTGTTACATTTATTTATTTATTTTTTAAACCGCTATTTGTTTGTTTGTTAAACTTAATGGGCTAATTTGATAATTTTTTCAATGTTGTCAAACTTTTGTATTCCACAAGCTGCGAGATTATACTAGTACAATTAAATTTCGATTGGGTCTCACTTAGCTACATACACATGGTTTTAAACTAAGTAAAATGTATTTGATTCATTCATATTTATGTACAAACTATTTGTTGCCCTAATAGTTAAAGAAATTTTAGAGAATAGTGCATTTAAAGTTGAGAAAAATGTTTCAATATACTTGTAATTTGTAAATGAACAAAGAAAGGAACGACTCCACCTTGCATTTTTAGGCAAGAAGTGCTTTTAAAGTCAAGATTATTTAGGATTGTGAAATGGTCGCTCTCCAAAATAACACTATAACAATAAAAGAAAATGATGAGTGTAATGTTAAAGAGTTAATGTGTTATGATCTTATTAGAGAGAAATAAAAATAAAAATAAATAAAAACTATTACCCACATTTTAAGGATCAATGAGAACATGACATGTCAGCATGGTGAAAAAAAAAAAAACAAAAAAACAAAACTGGTTTTGTCTAATGTATAGTAAATACACACAAGGCATTCTAAACAAGTTTGATACTATATTACTAATACATGAAACAGTAAAGTTCAATCCTAACCACTGCAGATAATTGGAGGACAGTGATACATTGCCTATGAGCACCTCCAAGCAAGAAATGAAATTTATAGAGAAGCTCATACCCGAAGGCCGAAGCGAGAACAGTAAAATAACTGTTCCCGTGCTGATTAGCCAATTGTCATTGTGGATTGTTAAACATGATGTTGTTAATTTGGTCAATGCCGATGTCAGATATGGGGTCAATGGGGCGCTCATCATCATCGTCATCCGTTAGAGCGCTGCTGGGCAAAGGTTCTCTGCTGAATTCATCTGCATAATAGGACAACAATAACAGGTTCATGAAATTTACTATCGTAACATGTTGGATACCATTCTGAAAGTAGAAGTAATTGTGTATCACAGCTCTAAACATCTGAGGTTAAGAATCACAAATATTAAAGGATTACATAGAAAGAGTAAAAGACACTTCCTAACTGATATTGTTGATAGAGTGGAAAGTAGATTTACCAAAAATTGTGTTGAATGAAGCCGGGGGAGGGGTGGCCATGAAGTTGAGGCCAATGTAAAATGTTATTGCTAGAACTACAGTCACCATCAGATAGGCTGGCACAGCCAATGCCCAGTATCTGCAAAAGATGGATCATAAGATCTAAGAAGCAAAGACGGCACAAAGGAACACACTTTTACAGCTAATAGAAATGATTCAGACTTTTTTTTGACCGGGAAAAATGGAAAATGATAAATATTTGCATGATCTCCAACTATGCATCTATGTTTCTAACTCCTTCATTTCTGGAAACCATCTTTCAATAGTTTGGCTGATTTTTTTTAATTGGTGTTCAGTGACTTGGCAACTTCATTTTTACGAGTATCTTTCATTCACGTTTTCTTCCCTTAATTTCCAAGCTAAGGAGCAATCAAGTTAGCACCTTTCTACAAATCTGTTGTCAGCTGAACTAGAAAGATGAATTTGAACCATGAGAGAACCTTCAAGAATCTTATTTTCATTGTTTAAAATTTAAGAGCACAGTGTATTGCTTAAATAGAGAAGAATTCATGACATTCCAAACAGGTAAACAGTATTGAAATCAATCCAATTCACCTGCTTGGATAGTAAAAGATCCCTACTGAATGCAACCAATTCTCTGGAACATATGCCCACACTAAAAAGATAACTGCGCAAAGGAAAGAAATGGAGTAGATTAGATCACCACATCAAATGAGTCATAGTTGAAAGTGGAATGCAATTAAAGTTCCCAAATCTCTTGATCATAATTACCACAGATGGCAGATTGTTCAAAATTACCCAAAATAATGCAAAGCAAAAGGAAAACTATATAAAAGTAAGCAGCAAAAAAAACTATAAAGGTATGTCCAATAAAAATGATCAATTCGGTTTTTGAACTATTTTCCTGAAATTTTCAAGTAAAAGAATATAAAGAGTCAAATCCTGCTAGAGACCACTGGATGGCATGAAAATTGAATCAATCTATTGGTCATTTAAAAAATTTCATGACGGTGGAGTCAATTAAAAAACTGAAGCATCACAAGGATACGGAAAAATAAGCAGCACCAGACCAACTAACTACTCAAATTTTAAACTTCGTTCTCATTCAGATACTTCCCACATCACGAGGAAATGAAAACAGACTCATTGCATGACTCCAGAAATAACCGTTTGCTCCATCAGTTTATAGATACAACTTTACAAGTTGTGAATGGTAATTAAATGATGATTCTCTAAGAATCAATCCACAATATGCCTCAAAAACATGCAATCCAAGCTCACCTTGATCTCCCCAAGCCCCATTTTTTTAATGAATAAATAGAGTAAGAAATTTGTGTGGTCACAACCAAGGCTCTAAAGCACAAGAAACGAAATTAACCTGTGGCAACAACGGTTGAAATAGACCCAACAAACCCATAAACTTCTGAAGGCTTGGGTCCATAATCCGCAGGAACACCAAATGTTGAAACTTTGTTATTTGAGTCTGGGAAGAGAACGGTTGCCCTCCTATTCTTTGTAAGACTAAGGGTCCTCCGAGGACTATTAACTGAATGAGGATCTTCCATTATTATTTTCTCTGCAAGCAACCTAGGATTCCAGAAGGACCAAAGTGCATCTTACTGTTGATTAGAGCACCACTGGTGGAATATTGCAATTTCCACAGAGGCAAAGAGCAGAGCATAAAATCATTACATGCATTATGAAAGAATAAATAACAGATGCCTAATCTTACAATAAGTTCCAAGAATGTGTAAAATGTAAGATTTATAGAAGCAAATGAAAACCAGCTCACACCCAAAAAAATGAAGCAAAGGAGAAAGTTTCAATGGCAAATTTGGGCAAAGTTTTTACAACTATTCACACTCCTAACATACATCTTACTATCAATAGATTTGCAACAACAAAAGAAATACGAATGCGCATGAATATGTGTAGGGATCAAGTAAATTACAGGACATTATTGCAATTCTATTTCGTTTCTTCAAGAATACCCGGGAAAAAAAATTAAATTTCTATGACTTTCCGCCTCTAGTTTATGACAGTTGCATTGAAGAACATGTATATGATACTTTTCACAGAGGCATTTCAGGAAACAAGTGGAGTGCATCTACAATAATGCCATGACGCCATGGTTGTAAGGATGAAGATGTTACCTTCGTCATGAATGCATTGACAGGAAGTACGCCCGGAAGGGAGAGGGAGGAGATTGGAAGATGGCCGCCGGCCAATTGTTCCCGGAGTTGGGTACTTCAATCGGGTCGGGTTGCTAGTTGAGATTTACCAATTTGATAAAGGATTAACGACTAATGATTAATGAAGTCGTCCCCCTTTTATTTTAATTTTTGCTTCACATTTTAAATATTGTATTGTTGAAATAGTTTATCGGGCTTTAATGATTTTATCATTTTATTTCTCAGTTGTCAATTATGATCAAATAATATTATCATTAATCACAAAATTTATACATATTTTTCAATACTAGAAAAAACCAAATAGGCCAAGGACTTGTGGTCCAATGACACTAAATTGCTCCTTATATGAGGTTGTGAGTTTGAGTCTCAGTGAAGGTGACACTTTGTATTTTATTTGATTGAAAAAGTAGTACTACATTATTAGGGATGACAATGTGCCCCGTCCCCGTAGGGGATGGGAACGGGGAAAAATTTCGGCGATCGGGGACGGGGACAGGATACCCCTCCTCGCCCCGCCCCGCCCCCGAAGATTAAAATATATATATATATATATATATATATATATATATATATATATATATATTATATATTATATAGTTAATTAGTCAGTACTATTCAAACCGATCAAACACTGTGTATATATTTGATGAATTGAAATTTGGAACATATTGAATATTGATTACAATGCATGCATGGTGAATATTGAATGTGTATATATTAGATTATTAGAATATATTGACTATGGATTTCAATTTTTTTGTTATTTATTTTTAAAAATTATATTACTTTTACACATTGATTATGGATTGACCGGGGATGGGAATTCCCCGTCCTCGCCAAATTTTCCGCGGGAACGGAGACGGGGACGGGGACGGGGATAGGGTCGGGGTTGCAGGGACAGGAACGGAAAGTATACTCCCCGCCCCCGGCCCGTTGCCATCCCTATACATTATAATAGAGTCAATAGGATTTAAAAAAAAAAAAATCAAATAAAAAGAGTTGCATATAACATAATCAAATAAAATTTGTAATAGAAAAATCATTAGTGAAATCACTTCCATGTCATCAATCAAAATAAGATGTAATCTAACTCATGAAATTCAACCATAAATAAGCTTAATTGATGTTGCTCGAGACGGATTGTTCTAGTCCGCACATGAATTCGTCTCACAGTCTTCGTGTCTAAGAGTATCCCAATGTAAAAAATTTCATTGATTTTTGGGGATGTGTTGACTATTTAGTATTTACACATGTGGATGAGTGAGAAAGGAGAGAAAAGATTTGAGGTCTTAACTTAGGAACCTGATTTTTGTCTTTCAAAGTGGGATCCACCAAAATATAAAAGAAATTCGTCCTCCTTCGCATGTGCGCCAGTTGCGGAGATAGCAGCGCCCAGCCGGGTGCGAGCATTACACACGTTTGTTGGGCGCATTAACATAGCTCTTTCACTTTTTTTTTTTTTTCTTAAAAAACTTTGTTTTCTCACTCCTCTCGTAAATGACATCTTAAAATTTGTGTAAAAATTTAAAGAAGTGTAAATTTTATAACTCGAGAATAGTGAAATCATTATAGTCGAATATGGAGAGACATTTTTGACAATTTATTCGAGAAAATAAAAAAAAATAAAAAATTGTGGCATCCACCAAAAGCATATGCTTTGCGACCAAATCGTGGCCAAGCCAACAGAACCACACACGTGAAAACGTGCGTTTCATTGTACTACGAACCTGCAAACAGCGACAAAGGAAGGCCGCGGGCAGATGATTTGTTGGAAACCAAAGTTGATGACAGCGCCGCCGCTTTCCACTGGGATCTTTCCTTCCTCCGTCGCAGCGTCCAAGAACAAGAAAATCCATTTGTCCCCCGCCGGAAACACCATTTCCAGGAAACCCAATTCATCTAAGATTGCTTCTGTAGCTCCTAGGATGTCTCTCACTCCACCTTCTGCTCCACTGCAAAGGTGCATTCTTTCTTCTCCCTTCCTATGTTTTTGCTTTTTTTTTTTCCCCCTTATTTTTTGGTGCAATTCATACTTGCCACCATAGTATCTATCTGTGTTCTTATTCTGATGTAATATTTGCTGGACTGGACTGGTCACCAAGTGATCTGTTTGGTGTGCCAAAATGCCAAATGCCCCAAATCTCTAAATGTGATTAGGGAAAAAAAAATGACAACTTTATAATTTTTACTTTTTAGTGACAAAAACCCACTTATTTTGTGAGACAGGTCGAGTTTTTATAAGTGTTACATTTACGATTAGTATTACACTTTTTTCATACTTGATAACTAGACCAGACCCGTCTCACGGAAAAGGATCAATGAGACAGTCTCACATGAGACTCACCCATTTTTAGGTTGTCTTTGATGTCTGTTGCTGTTCAACCAACTGTCATTGTGTCAACTGAATTTTGCCTAATAAACCCGGTTTATTGATTGTTCTTGATTGTATTCTTGTTCAACCTGGTTTATTTGCATCATGTAAATACTACCAATATCGTTCTTGATTGTATTCTTGTTTGGCCAAGTTTCTGAGCAGATATCTTATATCCATTTCTATAATGCAGTGTATGTTCATTGCCGGTTGATGATCCTTTGGAGGCTATATTGTTTGACATCGATGGAACTTTGTGTGATTCAGATCCTATCCATTATTATGCCTTCCGAGAAATGCTTCAAGAGGTTCAGTGTTATTTGTTTTTATATCAACGTATCAATCTTGAATTCTCGTGACTTAACAATAAATGGAGTGGTCTTCGTTTATATGAATGTGATGTCAAACAGATAGGCTTCAATGGAGGAGAGCCCATCACCGAGGAATTCTTCATAAAGAATATCAGTGGCATGCACAATGATGAGCTCTGTCATGTGCTCTTTCCAGATTGGGATTTCCCGAGGGCTATGCAATTTATGGAGGATAAAGAAGCAATGTTCCGGAGGTAACCTAATCCCGTATCTTATTGAATGTTCAATCGCGAGTGATGAAAGCTTATCGGTGTTGCATTTGAAGTAAATATTTATCATTGTAAACAATTTTTTGCTATTTGGATTGAGATTCATAGTATACCCCTTCCCTTCTTTGTCGATATTCATTTCCTTGATCAAAAGCAATGTATTTACGATTCTAGATTTTATGAAGCTCATTGTTGTGTGTTTCTCGACGACAATCTCAACAGATTGGCATCAGAGCAGTTAAAACCCGTCAAGGGGCTTGACAAGTTATGCGAGTGGATGAAGGAGCGTGGTTTGAGACGAGCTGCAGTGACTAACGCCCCAAGGCCAAACGCTGAGCTGATTATCTCCATGCTAGGCCTTGCAGATTTCTTCGAAAAGCTTGTCATTGGGAGCGAATGTGATCGAGCAAAACCATTCCCGGACCCCTACTTGACAGCTCTCCGTGGACTTGGGGTATCAAATAAGCATGCATTTGTGTTCGAGGTTTGTGAAAACACACTCACCACTATTTATAACGATTAGTGAATTAGTCTCTCGAGAAGATCATTTGAGAACTCGTGTTTTTCCTTTTCGTGCTCAGGATTCTATTTCTGGAATAAAAGCTGGAGTTGCAGCCGGAATGCCTGTTGTGGGGTTATCTCTGAGAAACCCCGAAAGCTTACTCTCTGAGACGGGCGCTACACTTGTTATAAAGGATTTCGACGATTCAAAGCTGTGGGCAGCTCTCGATCAGTTAGACACCAAAACGAAGAAATGAAAACATCCTTAATCGATTCTTTATAGGCGCCAGGTACATTTATGGAGCCTTGGAGCAGTCATACATATGCCCTATTTGATAGAACTTATGATTCATTTGATACTTATAATTCTGAATTATGATTCTTGCTCATCAGCTCATGTCAACTTGAAGTTGTTAATGGATTACTTGTAGTCTATCATCAGATTAAGTAATCTTGGGCCTTCTCGATTTGAGCTAGTTAGTTATGGATATTGGATAACCTAGGTTGGTACTTTACCAGCTAGGGTTAAAAGACCGAACTTCACCTATAACACACATTCGGATAGCAGTTTTAGGTTGTCTTATAAATGAAAAATTTAAGTAATCTTTTACTAAACACATTCCCCCACTTTTCATTGGAATATGGACGAGTAATATTTACATGTACTCCCACTTTCTGCTCTATTTTTTACTCTCTTCATATGTAACATGCTTTGATTCATCCAGAAGAAGGGACCACAATTATGTTTCCTTTTCTTTTACCAATAAAATTATGACATATAACCATAGTTGCAAAAATCGCGCTTATAATAGGCGCCTAGGCGCTAGGCGGTGGCTAGCCTAGAAATTTGGCGGAATCGCCGTTTTAGGCGGCTGACCGCCTAGACACCAACCAGATCTCCGTAGACTAGGCAGCCTAGGCACCCAAAAAATAATATTTTAAATTTTTTTTAAAAAAAACAGGCGCCTAGGCGCCCCCAGACGCCCTAGGAACGCCTAGATTTTTGCAACCTTGCTGATATAACCAGAGTTTACTATATGAGAGTCCACAACTCTACATATCAAAGTATTAATTGCTCAAAAATTTGTTCATCCTAATAAATATGTAATGCCAAAATATACACAAAACCTCCCATAGACACCTGACCAAAGTTATACTACAAAAAATGCAGAAGTAGAATTGCCAAGACCTGTTTGTAGCAACTAACAGAGTGACATGCCAATCCAAATCCAAATAATGTAATAATGAATTATAGTATAGTATACAACAAGAATGAAATGTCCCGCTAACATCTCCGATGAACCCAACCATCTCATCGAGCCCACGATACAGACTCAACCTCGCCCCTTGCTTTCTTGTACAGCTCGAGCCTCTTGGCACATTGCAGTCTTTTCTCCATCAATGCTGGATCTTCGTCTAACAGTTCCCCGAGTGCATCGGCCTATGAAAATTTCCCGAAAATGTGAATCTACTGCACGTGTCATGTTAATCATAAAAATCGAGGGCGTAGAATACATACCTCTTTCTTCCCGATCTGTATGTAGAAGTGATTGAGTAACGACTGTTTGGCCTCCTTAACTTGGCAGTAAACCACGGCTTTAGGAATGGTGTTCCTAAGTGTGTCGGATACCATATTCACGTAAGACGATACGTTTGAGCCTATCCGCCTGAAGTGAGCCTCGGAATACCGGTCTATTGCTACGGGAGGAGGAGGAGGAGCCGGGTTTCCCCCTCTTCGGTCTGCTGCTGCAGGTGCAGCTGGGTTTCCCGGTTTCTCCATTTCCTGGGGAAGTCTCCGGAAGAAATCAACCGTTAGATATGAAGCTTCCATTTCCACGAGCCTAACAACCGTCTTCCGACTTTCCTCACGATACTTCTCTAAAGCTTCATTTGTCGCTGCAGCTATTGCTGCTTGTAGACTCGGGAACCGCTTCAACTCCTGTTCCATCAGCGAATTAACGAGGATAGAAAACGAGATGGTAAACAATTTGTCCCGGATGATCAATAGAAATTTACCTGGCATTCTCCAATAGACTTCCTAACGAGTTCCTTAAGGACGAAGTGAACCTAATATTTTTCACAGTCGGGTTTAGACAGAGGTACGTAAAATCGTAAATGGACTTTAGTAAACTACAATTCAATACTTACGGCATCCACAGAGGCTTCAGCCGGACCTCTGAAATAATTTAACGCTCCCTCAATAAGACGCCTATAGCCTTGCTCGGGGGCAATCAAGTGTGGTTGGTAACCATCTGCCTGTGAAACGACTTTCCTCACATTCTGTATAGATAGGTGGCGATCAAATGGAAGTTTCCTAAAAGCAGCCGGAAGTTGATTATCAAACACCCCGTAGATTCTATCTCCACCTGCTCGGCTGATGTACCATAACAAATAAAAACGTCAGCTAATAACAAAATCAGCGTTGTGAAGCCTAGTTCAGATAGCGGGGAAGGAAAAGAAAGTTTGAATTGCATACCCTCCATCGAGATGTTCCTTAAATATTTTGTCAAAGGCACGGCAAAGTTCCAAGATAGTGTACAGTTGAGCCTGAATAGAAATTTCGGTCAGCGACAAGATACTAAGATAGGTTATTATTATTATACGATAATCCCAACAGAGAGAATAGAAGCTCACCGCTCCATCAACTGCAATAGGCCTTCCAAGATGGTCCATCTCCGATTCAAGTTCCTCGATGCTTTTAGTGATTAAAGAGGTGATACTCGGTATTCTTCCCCTAATTACAGACTCCAAGTGCTGAAATCAAAGACATTTACAATAAACTCTCCATTCTACACTCTACATTGTGTCATATACAGTGTTGTAAAAATCGGCCTAGGCGGCTGCCTAGGAGCTAACCAGGCGCTGGGCGCCCCTAGGCCGAGGCGATTTCAACCCTAGGCGACTTTTAGTTAGCCGGCCGACTAACTGACTGGCCGGCTAGGCGCCGATTTGGGCGCCAAACCCGGCCGAGTGGTTTTTTTGCCGGCTCCGCTACTCCTCTTCTATATTACTCTAGTCATGTATTCAACTAACCATCTAACATATGCATTTCACTAGTTTTGGAAATTATAACAATCTAACAACTCCCAGCCCTAAGTGGAAAAAGTGGCTCGGATTACTCGGCTGCCTAGGTACTCTAGGCACTAGCGCCCCCCGGGCGCTCGAGTAGCAACTAGCACCTTCTGCAACATTGGTCATATAAGACGGGTCAAAGAAATGCAAGAAAAAACATATAATACCATTGAGAGAAGCTTTGCCAGATACTCCGAACCCATTTTACTGGCAAGGTGACTGTAGTCGGGGCTTGTAGCGAAATACTCACGCTCCCTTCTTCGTGCAGCAAGCATGTCGACATTTTTGTTGATGTCAGCTTGTGAACGGTTAACAATACCCACCCAAGGTTGTTGCAACCGGTACGATCTTCCTTCAAGAACCTTGGAAATGAAAAGAGCCAACCCGGTCACGAGAGGTAGGAGGGGCGTTGGAGAGGAAATAGTAGTATTTGCAAAATTAAAGATCCAATAGAGAACGAACTAACTTACATCCAATGCATTAGTTCCTTTATCCATCAAATCTAGCTTCGTAAGGACCCCAAATGTACGCTCGCCTGCAAGATTCACCGAAGATTATTTAGAAAAACTAAGCTATACGACAGGGACAAAAAGGTACGAACTATGAAGTATAATGTATACAAAGACGGACAAACACACACACACTCACACACATATACCTGCGGGATCTACTTCCCTTGAAAGTTTAATTGCATCTGATGTGGCAATATCCTGATTGGCTGGAGATATCGCAAGTATGATGCAGTTGGGCTACAAACAAGGATTTCAAACACAAAATAAATTAGAATACAAGAAATACCAATCCAGAAACGGAACAAACACAAAACCGAAAACCATAAACTAAACCTTAAAAGTTCAGTTCAATCAATTACTATTCAATGCAGTACAAAGAAGGTAACGTAACATTACTTACTTTCTCCACATAGGATCGGACCATGTCTTCAATGTCTTTGACTACACTTTCAGGTTGCCCCTCTGCAAACGCAAAACGGGTGTGTTTTAGAAAAGAATCATAACAGCAGCGAGAATCAAGATTCAGAAAAGACGAAGAATGTACCAACAGCAACTTTTGTCAAACCGGGCAAATCAATTAGCGTGAGGTTGACGACTGCCAGATAAAGCATCCACAAAACGAGTGTCAGCAAATGATCAAGGCAAACCATTCCATCCCAAAAAACAAAGTAGTAAGAGAATTTTACCATTGGGGGAATAGATGCTGAGGTGAATAGGAACTGGAGATATTTGTTTGGTTTTTCCCGTGATTCTGTCAGTTTCATCCTGAATTTCCTTGCGAACCAGAGCTGAAAGTAAAATAAGTCTGTCAAAATTTGCATGTTCTAAGAGCCAAATAGCAAACAAGAAAACATCAATATTTTTGCTCTTAGAGTCTTGGAAACTACAAACACTTGCACAAAGAACAGAACCCAAACAAGGAAACTATAAACTAAAATATATCACATACAGAAATCAGTGAAACGCCTTCGTGGCAAATGACCGAATTCTGCATATTCCTCCTGCCCTTCATCAATCTTCTGCAGCTGCAACACCAATGGCCGTCTTGTAACAATCCCTGCAAACCATTTTTTAAAAATCAACATAACTTATAGGCACCTTCCATGAATATACATATATAGGACTTGATCGGGAGCCTCACCAGATCCTCGAGGAAGAAAATCTCTCCCAACTATGCTTTCCAACACAGAAGATTTTCCAGAACTCTGAATTTCATCAAGAAAAACAATCATCAAATACAGGGAAATTTGTAATATCATCAAGACTACTGCTTTTCCATGTGAAAACGCAATCGACCAACAAAAAAAGTGTCTTTTTCACATTCCTGTTCTGCCCAGTAAAGTTTTTTCCTTTCTTGATTAACCAAAAGTATAGTTACTGTAGCAACCCAAAGAAAAAGGAAAAGCTAGCAGTTGACGTTAAAGAAGAGGAAGGAATTGGAGTGACCTGACCGCCAACGACGGCGACGGAGGGCAGAGCATCCCAAAGAGAAGAGAAAGCGTTGTCGCCGCCGCCGTGGTCGCCGAGAGCAGTACAGGCTCTCTGAATTCGGTTGACTAGTCCTATCAAACTCTCCATAGTCGTCGTCATCCTCTCTCGGTATAACGCAAAATGAAACTCTATCAGGTTTGATTATTCAGCTCCAACAATATCAGGCTGGAAAAAGCTTGCGAGTTAAGCAATGAAAGATGAGAAGAAAGACAAAGATGGAGAGGCTATGGGCTTAGAACACGAAGCAGAAGAGAAACAGCGTTGTTTAGGTGTGTGTGTGTGAGAGAGAGAGAGATAAAATGTTTAATGTTGGACCGTTCTTTGAATTTGATTCTCGAAGATTATTATACTTTGGACCGGTTATTGTTGTCCTAGCCGCCCAAAATAAACTATACAGTATACAGTATATACCATAAATGAATAATCGAGTGAAATATACAGCATACTTTATTCTTGTATCAAGAAATTATAAATTTAATTATTGTCAACAATCGAAGAATAATCACATCAGAAGTTTTTTTTTTTCTTTCCTGATTTTTCAGCTTTTTAGCATAGGTAGAAAATAGAAGAAAAAGAATTTTATTAAATAAGAGTTTTTTGTGATACCCATTGTCCAGGAAAAAAAGTATGTTCATTGCCTCAAATGCGCGTTAGACACACTTGCGCACCCATATAAAACTTTAATTTTTGTTCTCCTTTTTTTTTTTCTTTTTTTTTTTTTTTTGGTTCTTTTCTCCTCTTTCTCTTTCTTACTTTGGCACCTCAAAATTTGTGAAAAAACTTTAATATGATCCAATTCATGGTTGTGTTCGTTATGTATAAATAGTATACAAAATGTAATAAAGATGTGAGTTTATACATATTAGACACATTTGGAACATTATGATTATCAAACTAATTTAACTAGGGTTGTCCTATAGAAAGTATAATTTATTTACTTGCATTGTCTTTATTAATTTATTTTTTTTTAATTATATGGCATTAATATTTAATACCATTTTAATTAATAAAAATAATTGTCTTGGTTTCATACATGAATAAGCTAAGGAAAATGATTTTTTAACACGATGTTTTACCTTCTCTTTTTAAAATCACTAACGTTCATTTGTTGATGTGTGGTATTGTTATCCAAACTGTTTTTATGTCATATCCTTATCTACTTGTTGGTTTTATGCATGTATACCCAAGGTTGGATCAACATATATAAACCCAAGAAAGAAGTTTGGGTGATTTCGGTTGAAGAGTAAAATACTTCGGATGTATAAAAATTGAAAAATATTATGTTGTGCGTATACTAAATTCAATATATTTTCGTTCCCTCTCTTAGGGATTTGTATACAATTCTCGGATCATCAATGCCGAGGTTGTAGCTGAAACTGTAGCCTAAAGATCATGGTTGAGGTTGAAGTTGAAGTTGCATGCAGACTAGTTGCCAATGAGGATTGGAGTGCAAGCTAGGGTCAAAGGCGAAGTTGTGAGACGTAGTCCAATTACAAAATGAAAAATATACTCATTTTTCTCAACTCTAATAAACTCATGAATATCTTATAAAGTTGGGAGACTGTGAGACTAGTTCCTCCTTATTTTTACCCATCACTAATGTTCATGGGTAGAATGGTTTAACAAGATGGATTCATTTTGTTTGCATTAATTAATTTAATACTAACACATAATGTTTATGTATTAAAATATTACTAAATATCGAAAGGTCAATAAGAAGAAGAGAAAGAAGAAAAACAACCAACCTCTAGCAATACGCCAATAGTAATTAACTGCAACGTTCTTAGAATTTTAAATTTCAAAATTGTGGTTGGGCTGTTAGTCGGTTGCCGTTGGAAAGCTAATGCTGGCCCACTGATCAGCCCAACGGCAAATGTTTGAAAATGACGTAGGTGTTGAATTATGACCATTTGACCATGACCAACCACTAATATTCAAATTTGGGTTACTTGCATTTTTTAGTCCTTTATTACATGAGAAATTAGTCTCTCAATTGCAAAAATAAGTCACTATTAATCATGCATTAAGGTGGCTATTTCAGTATTTTGTTTCCTTGTCGTTGTTAGTTTAAAATTTACACATAATAGTCATGTGCAAATAAACAATGAAAAAAATATTAGTTTAACCAATTAATAGTAAACATAATAGCAGTAATAACATATTATATATGTAAAGATTAGATAATAGCACTAATACTGCTATTAAAACAAGACAGACAAAATGGGGCAAAGTATTATAGATAACACCTCTATTTTTACAGATAAGATAAACATGGTAATAAATATTAAAAATGAAAGTAGGAATGATATACTTCTTGAACATGTGACCATTTACTTGAAAGAATAATGTTACATTCCCCTCCTGCTTTCACCTCTCTATGTGGCAATATTTGATTAATATTTGTCTAATTTAAGTGCCCAATGTGTATGTATAAACTTGGGCACAACAGTATTTAATTATAGTATAACATCATTTTCAGCATTTTATCAACATACTCTATAACAAGATTTTGTAGTGCAGTAGTATTGGGTTACAGAAGTCAAGTTCACTTTCAAATGTATACAAAAATAAATGTTAACACTCAACATAGTTTCTATATTGCAGTTTATTACTGAATGCATAAAATTACAGGAGAGGAAACAGAGTCTGATAATTTAGACTCAATCATAGCAATACGCGACAGTGATATGCTAGCATGACATTCTATAACTGGATATGCTAGCATGACATTCTATAACTGGATATCAATCTACCAACCAACATTATTCTAGTCGTTAACAAGAACGCACCTGAACCCATCACAAACTTTACATGACCTTTGACGTGACCAGTGAAGCTGTATTTTGACAAATGATGATCAATCTTTCTTGTAAATCAGTTTTGGGTAGTCTGGGGACCACATATTGTGCTTCACAAATTCCAGAATTTGTTCCTGCAGTGACAACACAGTTGCACCAGTGTCTTTATATCGAAGTCTAAAGTTACATTCACGACTTCACGTGTTCTCCTTAGTAAAAGTGCAACTCAAGAAGTAACACAAGTGAACACCATTTGAAACAAGCTGGTGAATGGAAAGAAATGTAAACAGAAGAAACCTGCACATACCTGGTCAAGTTGTTTTAAGTCTCGGCTATCCATTCCCCGGTAACCTTCAGCAACGCCTTCAATTGATGCTTCCTTAATCACAGCTGCAGCTACCTCCTTAGTAATATCACGTATTCTGCAAAAGACAAATGACAGTAAATTAGATTCAGAACATGCATAAGCAAAAATATGACTTTGAATAACATAATAGTGTTCTGTAGTAATCATATTGTAGTTATACACTTTAAACTGCCAAACAATTGCCGAAATTATACCTTGATATTGAAGGGTATATAATGCCTTTATGCACCTCCTCCTCGGTCATATATGCAGCTAGGCTGTAATTCAAGGTGATGGTTATGGAACTTGAACCATGACAACCAAATTATATTTGTAGATGTCATCTTTTTTAAAGAGTATCAAATGGCTCTATAAATACAACAACTGAATTTATTTTAAAAAACAAACCTTCCAAACACTTCTCTTTTTATGTCTTTGTTTACTCAGTTCATTCAAACAGTTCTTCAATTTAATTCAGAAATAGGATAAATATCCTTTTTTAATGGTAAGCAATGGGGATTGCAGGAAGGGTGGGTGGGGGTGGAAGTTTAACACAATTTTACTGGGGAAAAAGGCTTCACTACCACTGCAGTGGAGCCTGCTTTGGAGTACCGAGTCTCATGAAATTAATGAAGGGTTCACTTTGGTTCAAGATTTTAAGAAATTCCACATGCAATCATAATCATAAATCAGTGTAAATACAAATCTTTTAAAATAAGATGAAGGGAGTAAAGTACCGTTCAGCTGCTGCCTGCAGCATGCCATCTGAGACGATCCTAGATCCAGATAGAAGAGTCCCAAGTCCAATCCTAAAACACATGCCAACATTGTTAAATAAGATTGATAGATTAGGGCACTATTCTACAATGTGAGTCCTACAAGAGGATTGGTAGCTCACCCAGGGAAGAGGAACATGTTATTTGCCTGGTTACAGTGGCCAATATGTCCATTCCCTGAAACATTCACAGGCAGTTAATATCTATATAGAAGGCTAATATCATGAAGAAATTTTTGTTTTCTCTTCTATGAATACTTGTTCTAGATCCTTATATTTCATCATATTTCTGTAGTGACACAGGATTCTTGGGAAAAACTTAAGCAATGCATTCAAACTTATTAGCTAACTAGCGTACCAAGATCCACATCGTTAAATGGGCTTCCACTTGCAAATATAATGTTGTCACCAACAAGGGAAAATGCCTCCTCAGGTGTGCATTCAGCTAATCAAAAAAAATTAGTAATCATAACACAAGGCTAACAGGCTAAAATCAACTTTGTAGAGTTTTTATTTTATTTGATATACCATTTTTGGTAGGGTTTGACATTGGAAAGATTGCTGGTCTAGTAGAAGTAGACTCCTTAAGTGCCTCCAGTACCTAAAAATGGTAAATCATTTTAATATTGGTAGTACAAATTACAATCAAAAGATAGGGTATAATATAAAGGAGCCATGCTGGTAAATCGTTATATGAGTAAGAGGCAAGGATAAAGGAAATAAAACACAAGAAAAGGGACAATGCAACTAAACAGCCTTGAATTGATAAAGAGGCATGACAAGAAGTTTCCGGCTTGGTGAGGTTGAGTGGGTGACCAAACTGACAAACAGAGTAATTAAACCTAAACTAGAAACAGCTTCATTTATGATGATGGACTTGTTCCTAGGATGGCATTTCCATTTGGAGCCTCAGAGTTAGGTGTGAAAGTTGATAGGTGGTCAGAAAGTTGTCCTATTTAGAGATTTTTTTTTTTTTTTTTTTTTTTTTCTCTAGGACTCAGGATTCCTAGCTAAAAAATATTTCTCAAGGCTCCCCTTGAGGGTAGCAAAACAGTAGATGGTACATGATACACAACTTTTGGTAGCGATTGATCATGAGGGGCAATGAAAAGATTACTCAGAATCATGACACCATTGGAATCAAACACATGAATCAGAAAGGAAAGGAAATTGACAAGAAAATAACATATCTAAAAACAAAATTGTAACTCAATATAAGACATAACACTAGTTTGGCCAAGGTGGAGCTTATTGAAAGAGAGGTTTTTAAGACATTTTTGTGTTTGGCTCAACTTATGTTTTTCCAAATAGATAAGCTCTAGTAAGTCATGGACTAAACAAGCATATAGTAATGATATAAAAATTAACAAATATTTTATATTTGTCCAATTCTAAAAAGACATATCATAACATTTCTCTATATACTGCATGTGTACCTCATGTGAGAACAAGCCTCCAACAGCAGATAAACCAAGGAGTACATCAGGCTTCACTTGGCGAACCTGATCCAAAACAGAATACATTGTCATTCAAGCACAGCAAAATAAACACACAGAATTAGTATAAGAATATGATGAAATATGTGAGAACCAACATCAGATCTAGCACCATGTTTGGTAGTCCTAAATTTTGCTCAAAAGTTCAATCACAACTACCAACAGCAGTCATCAATTAATGCAATTTTCTAGATCAAAACCTGGTCATGAATTATGTCTTCAAAGCATACAATGCAAAAGTTGTATGAACAATAACAAGCAAACTGACAATTATACCATAATGAAACAGGCCAATGGGCTTTAACCTTTAGGTCTAACAAGTTGCTAAAGAAAACATGTGTAATATCCAGACCTCAATATTTGAGGAATATTCTACGCAAATGTTGAAGATTAATGGATGTCTACTTTCTGCTTTTATGAATAGTTGAAATAGTAATTACCACTTCCGCAAGACTTGCACCTTCCCTCAATCCTTGACGTTGAATTTCTTTCATATTCCTTGCAAATGGCCGAGCATCTTCATCAACATTTTCCCGTGCCTCAGTTATCAATCCCTATATTCACAGGCAAACAACAACAATTATTTTGATTAAAACTGTGCAGAAAACAAACCAATTCCTGCACTGTACTATCAAAAAATCTTAGCATCCCAGCCCACGCTCCCAACCCAGGGGGGGGGTGGGGGGGGGGGGTGGGGGGGGAACTTGAGTAAGAGAGACTTACATTGGCATCAACTACCCAAAACTGGCTCCTTGCACTTTCAAATGCAACTTCATTATTTCCTAACATTCTTGCCATAGTTTTCCTAGCAGCATTAAGAACACCTATTCCTGCACTGTACTATCCAAAAAGTCTTAGCAGTCTTAATACATTCTACTTGAATGCAGGCATGCAGCACCTTTTAATGCCAGCTTATAAAAACACAAGACTAAGATTTTATTACAGAATAGCCTCCAAGTAAAGCAGAAAGTAGAGGAAAAGAGATGATTCTCAAAACATTCTAGGAAAATAAATAGTTAACCAACTTTTTTTTTTTTTTTTTGAAAATAATAGTTAACCAACCTAAAATAACAAGAAAATGATAGGTTTTGAGAGGATAAAAGAAGAAAATCAAACTGATGAATAGAATTGCCTGGCAAGATATCCTTAGATAATTCAGAAATCAATTCAGTTGTTAGTTACTCAAAGTTTCTCATGCATGACTTAATGGATTTGCTCTGCAAATTAGACGATCTTCAGTGCCATCTAAAGTACACCCAGCTCATACAGAGATCAGGCTCGCCAAACAATACTTCATCAAAAACCACCATAAAATAGTGAAATAACTCAATCAGGATCAATTCTAAAATAAAACATTCTCCAATAGATCATAATATGAAAATGATTGGCATATGCATGTAGATGCACTGAAGTTTTTATCACGGATTTATAACTTGCATATGGACTTCAAAGAAACAAAACAAAGGAAAAAAAAAAAATAATGCTAACCTTCCAGCACCAGCAACCACAATCCTCATTTTTGGAAAATCAATCATGGCCCTACCCTGTGCTCTTACAGCTCCTAAAAGCCCAGCAAGTGCAACTCCAGCTGTTCCCTAAATAGCAAAGAAAAACTGTAACAAAAGCAGGGGTCTAGTAGTGAAAACCATAAAATTAACTTATTCAGGAATTCCATTTTGCAATTTATTGAATCTGGTCTGTATAGGTAAGTTCTATAATATAAACAGATCCATTATTGCAATCCATATTTTTTATTAATGTTACAATAAGGAAAGCTATAAACCAAATCCCAAGAAATGCCATCTTCTCTTTTCTTTTTCTTTTTTTTTTCCCCCTTTCTTCATATTGTTCTATAACCCGGTGTGTGATAAGTCATCAGAAAGAAAAGGTTACCTGCACATCATCATTAAACATTCTGTAGTTGTTCCTATATCGTTGTAGTAGCTTAAAGGCCCACTTGCTTTGGAAATCTTCAAACTGAACATATCCAAAATGCATTACATTATTCTCTTATGAAGATACTGATTATGAAAACAGAGAAAAGCATTGAGAAAGAGAAGGTACCTGTACAATAACATTTGGCCAACGAGTAAATACAGCCTCCATAAACTCATCAATTACTTCAAGATATTGCTCTCCATCTAGACGGTGCTCTTGCAATCCCAGATCTATAGGCAAAGGAAAAAAAATTTATTAATGTTTGAGCAAAGGAAATGAGGAGATATCCACATCTAAAGTGGTACCATCAACTTAGGGTCCGTTTGGAAACTCGGAAAATGACTTTCGTAAGTCATTTTCCAGATTTTCCAGTGTTTGGGTACACAAGGAAAATGAAATCAAAGGAAAATATTCATTCTGGTCAACAGAAAAAAGGCTCAATTTGGCAGAAAATGTCTTCCTAGTTTTTTAGTCAAAAAAACATTTTCCGGACTTTATTTTTCATCTCTCTTCCCTCTCTTCTTTTTTAAGTTAGTTTCCGGATTACTATTATTACTACTACCACCACCACAATCACAACCACCACCAACACCAATACCACAACCACCACCATCACTACCCTACCACACCACCACCGCCATCACCACTATCACCATCACCACATATTATTATTATTATTATTATTATTATTATTATTATTATTATTATTATTATTATTATTATAACAAATAATATGTTAATTTTCAGGAAAATGAACCAAATAGAAAAAATGTCATTTCTTAACTTTCCGCTAAACAGAAAAAAGATAGTTTTCTGACATTCAATCAAACACCAGAAAATTAAAATATTTTTTTGGAAAATGAGTCATTTTCTCGAAATCATTTTCGGGAAAACATTTTCCAAGTTTCTAAACGGACCCTCAAGGACGACAAGATGATGTATACTTACATAAGGGATCCTTCAGAAGATTCTCATTGTCAGTTCCAACATCTATCATCACAGGCAAGACCTAATAAAAGTTATATTTAGTAAAAAAAGTGTCATTAGTATTATTTTCAAAAACATTGAGACAGAATTATTCTGCATGACATATTCTGGCATACAAGAGAAAGGGTATTAGTTTACTTTGAAGACAACTCTTCAAACAAAAACAAGCAAATGAGAATGGCATCTTTCTGACATTAAGAATTTTTCAGCTATAATGACAAAGGCAACCACTAAACCACTACAGGGTATTTATCATAGCTTAGAAGTGCTCACTTCTGCTGTTTCCTTTTTATTTCACTCAATGATGTGTGTGTGAGAAACAGTCCTAAAACTTAATCCATACGGAAAAAATAAAAAATCAAAAGCATTAGATCCCAATGCCCGTTTTGAACATGTTTCATGTAAACCGTGCAATATACATGTCAGAATAGGAAATATAGCAGAAAAATACTCTCTGAGGGTTAATCCCAGCTGCTGCCACATAGAGATCCAGCTTTCCAATTGCAATACCAATACCCTGAACTCCAAGATCTCCAAGCCCCAATATTCTACTTCCATCAGTTACAACAATCATATCAACCTACACAAAAACTTCAATATCAACAATCAGTATCTGCAATAAGAAATGATAAGAATTTAATCAAAACTCAGGTCAATAGAATTCATTGGCTTAGATTTCATGTACCAAGGATCCCTGTATGAGTGAAGTGCAATAATGTGTTAAGTTGAATAGTTTGTGATAGTTAAAAGATCTCTAATTCTCTGTATTCTCTCTATTGTTGTAGTTAACTATTCCACGCCAAACTTTCCGCCATTTTCTCAGATTAAGAGATCAGTCCCATATAAGAATCCACTAACAAATCAATAAGGCCAAATCAAGTCAGATTTCATTTCTTTTAACATTCAATACAAATTGAATGTGTCAAAAATCCTATACATCTAAGGAAGAACATGAAGTTCCATATTCTTAAAAATAATGAAGTGAAAGCAATCCAGTTGAAACCACTGCAGTAATAAAATGTTTACTGCATTTCCAAATTAGTTATTTTCCATAAATTAAGAAGGGGTTTCGACATAGAAACCTGCTCAGCTGGCCAATTATAAACCATTGACATCATTTCCCCACGATCTGCAGCACTGAAATACATGCCCCTTGGACGTCGGAACAACCCACTGTACTTTTGGCAAACAAGACCAACTGTAGGAGTATAAACAATAGGTGCATATTCCTCAATGTTTTCAATTAAAACCTGTCAGTCATCAGAAAAATAATCACTTCAACTTACACTGAAATAGAATAATTAAGATAGTCTATCACGACATGATGGCTCATATGTTCAATGTAATGCAAGTGTTAACCATTTTGTTGCAAAGAAATACAGCATAATTTTAATATTCAATGCATGCAAATGCTTGAGCTACTTCAAGACATTGTCTTAAACATGATGAGAATAAACTCAGAAGATGTCTGAAAAAAATGGAATAGAACATAATAATACTGATAATTTACGGATAACCAAGTCATGAATTATAACATGTTCAAATGTGCAAGGATGCATTACAAGCCTCTCCTGGCAAATTATGAATAAACCCAGTGCACTATCCCATGTTTGGAGGGAAGTAACCAAGCCAGCAATAGGTGAAGGGACGCAGGCATACAGCCATAATAGCAATCTCACAGTGAGTTGATAGTGTTCCAGGTAGATGTCATCTAATGATCTAAATGCAGCCACAAAACTACAAAAGAAGACGATTTAAATACATTATACAAGGCTTCACTCACTCACCTTATAATACAATGTCTCATTCCTGTCATGTAAGCGGTTGAGTATGCGCCACTTGGCCAAGGCATTTGGATCAGATGGACCATCTCTGGCTTGGACTTGAAGTCTCTTCAGGTCAGCCACTGTTGTTCACAGAGAGAAAATGACAAACTTGACAATAGAAGTGATTGAACTCAAAACAATACTTGATACACTCAAAGTCCTGAATTTGCAAATACGAACAATAAATATCTGGCCGTTCAAATTTCAACCACTGAAGCAAAAGACCAAACTAGCCCTATATGGGAGACTAAGCACAGTAGGATAGCTCTAAAACAAACCCACAAGTTATAGAAGAAGTTTCCATGACAGAATGACCCAAGAACTAACATCTGGATATCTGGATAAGTGGATGCTATACCCTCACCCATATTCATATACTCCGTAGAATTAATAAATTTTAAAGCCAAAGGATTTCCACATGTATGCGCAATTGAGTCACTCAAGTAGCACCATAAATGGGAGAATCTTTGTTAGCAAAGCATTAATAAGTTTTGTGTCTTTGTGGAAGGAAAGAAGTAGCAACACATTTTTCACTCCAAAATCAAACAATGAATATTTGCACTTATGGGTGAAGTTTCTTTAATTAAATCAAAGTTTATTTCTAATATAATCACAGAGAACAAGGAGACTCACTGAAACGTTCAGTTTGCTGTTCAAAAGACATGACATTTGGAGGCAGAAGCCCTCGTAGATGAAGACGGTCTCGTTCTGTCTCTGAGAAGGCAGTTCCCTATAATTTATACATTTCATTAAAACTTGCAATTGGTTATATGCATCGAGAATTTTCTTTTTTAATTATAAAAAGTAATAATAATATTATTCTGTAATGGAGGTGTCAGTTCTCTATTGCATGATGAACATAAATTAAAGGCACTCCCTCGCTATAAATGCTTTCTATGCTAACTAATTCAGCGGAGAAACCTACCAACTAAGATAAAGGCTTGTACTGAGTGAAGGAATAGGACTGTAAAAAGCAGTTCAATGATTTCATTCTTCTAGGGGAACAAAGAATGTCTTTTAAATGAGTTAAACATTCAGTCTAAGGAATAAACACTTGGCATGCATATTACTACTCAATTAACTAGAAGTCTAAAACATTGTTCCCTGTCATATGTTATAAAACTGCAGTACTTGCATTCTGCAACATATCAGCATCACTTAAAACAGTTAAAAGCCTGCTTGAACTATGTGGACATGAGGAGACTCGTGGAACATCCCACTGCAGAAACTGAATATGAATATCCCATCATTTCCCCTAGAAATGGGCTGAAATGATAGGCAGCTCTCAGCTTCAATTTAGAAATACTAGAGAACATAACATAGCTAGGCAGCTTTTGTATGTATGTATGTATATATAGAGGCTAATGCAGTAATGTTCAAGTGCATTCACCTATTCCCGTAAGTCCCGTGAGACCCTTCGAAAGTGCACACAAGCTACTACACGAATGCACACAGGGTAGATTATGTGCCACCCTTCGAAAGTGCACACAAGCTACTACACGAATGCACACAGGGTAGATTATGTGCATTCATGCTGGGTGAATTGCACACAATCTAGTATGCGTGTATTCGTGCAGTAGCTTGTGTGCATTACAAAGGGTCTCACGGGACGAGAAGAGGTGGTCTCATTTGATTATTACTCTATATGACTATATATATGTGTATATAGTCATATATAGAATTACAATTTTGATACTTTTTACTTTGTTATTTGCATTATTCGATTAAATGAGAAAGGTAATTCAATAAACATACTAGAATTTTCTCTCTCCTAAAAAAGCAGGATCTAGTTACCTTTGCATATTCTAAAATACAATCTTCATAATGCACTTCAACCTTATTGATAATCCATAAATCACAAACACATCTATTACTTAACTAAGAAATTACTCCGAAATCAATAATGAGTGCCGTATAATTACGCTAATCATCGCGTCAAAAGGGACATAAAATCAACAATGAGCAAAACCTTAACTAATTGATCCATTAAGCAGAGATCGATGATGAATCTATGCATGTTTAAAACCAAATTCAGGTAAACTGCGGATATAACGGTTTATTTACCTTATTGAACCACGGATCATGAAGAATGTCGAGGCTGCGTTTGTGGACGATGGTGGGGCGGTGGCCTTCCACCGTCGTGAAACTTCTGTAAGTGCTCCGACTCGCATCGGTCACTCCTTGCTGTAACTTCCACCGCCTCAGCAGGGCCGAGGAGAGCTTCATCTTGCGAGAAAAGTTCGCCATCATTGAACCGAGACAGAGGAGAAAGTGAAGAAGAGTGACAGATGTTATGTTCCCTTGAAGAATCTCACTGAAGCAGTGTTGGATGTACGTTGCGCTTCAACGTTTGTACGCTCTTTTTGTGGTAAAAAGTTGCCAAATTCTAACCCCTCGTTCGGTCAACGGAATGTGCAGTGGGCCAATAAGGTTTAGATCAAGTCAACGGTATCGGACTGATGAAACTGTGGCCTACTAATCACTTAGGCCCAATATAGATAGCCCATAAAGAGTTCCTTAGGCCTTAGGGATGCTTCATCAGCCCAATTATGACTTCACTCCAATAATTTCTTCTTTTTAAAAAAAAATTAATTTTTTCCAATGAATTTTTACATTACCATATCATATATACTTAATAAAATTGTACTATATATTTTCTGATGATAATTTGTCCTGTCGAGGATGGAAAAAAAAATTTAAAAAAAAAAAAAAAAAAACGAGAACAAGGAAGAGGAATGTGTGTAATACCCCGTTGGGGACGGGAAATGTGTAATTTCTCATTGTAGACGGGGATATCCCTCCCCGTTATGTCCGTCTCCGAATAATTATTATAATTTAAAAATTTTATATATATATATATATATATATATATATATATATATATATATATATATATATATACACACACACACACACACACTCCTAAGTTTTTAAAATTTTTGAATTTAGGACTTAGGTTTTTATTATTACAAATTGGATTAGGAGTTGACCAAAGACGATAAATCTCTATCTCCACCTAGGTCTCCACGGGAATAGGGATGGGGCAATTCCCTGTCGAAGATGAAAATGGAACCGTAAAGATACGGACGGGGTCGGAGTGGTGAGGACGGGGACATGTCAGGGTTACAGAGAGCCTCGCCATCTTGCCATCTTTGCTTGTAATATAAATAAATAAATAAATAAAATTTTATCAAATATAAAGTACACTCATAACTTCCTTATGTATAATGTCATATGATTTTCCCATACTCTTACACAAATTCATAAAATAAAAAGTAAGATTTCAAAATAACATTACAAAAATACTTTTCAACTATTACCTTTGATGCGTCTAGATTTCTTTGGATCTGCACCAATAGTGTCAATAAGTCGTCGAATGTTTGGTAAATCGATGTTAGCTGATTGGGTTAAAGAGTTTAACTAGTTGATAGTTGATTGGGTTAGTAAGTTTAACTAGTTGATAGCATTAGCTGATTGTAAAAATATATTTAATAAATTGATTGTTAGTTGATAGTTGATAGTTGATTACAAGCAAAATGACTTTCTCAAAAAACTAATCGAAAAAAGTCACTATGAGTAATTTTTTGAATTCTAGTTTTTTGAAGTAATAAATTGTTAAAAAAAACTAATTAATCAAACAATATTGATTATTTAACCAAATTAAATAATTAATAGTAATTAAATAAATTAAAATTGACTAATAAGCTAACTATGTTACCTATTTAGGACCCTATTTAGAACGAGAATACGAATGATACATTCATATGGTCCTATTAATTATTATAAATATAAATAAGAAATTTGGCTTACAATAATATATATCTCGTATTCTCATAACAATAATATTCTCTTTCATTTTTTGTGTTATTGATGTGCGATCTTCATATTTTGAATTAGCTTCCAAACGTATCTTTCAGTTAGAAAATCTAAACCCATTGAGTCACCGTGATTTACATCATCCTACATGTTATGTCGGGTCGGAGTGTGGAGTCTTTAAAGTTGGGGATTCAGCCTTTTGGGTAAGTTAGAAAATCTAACTTTATCATTCACATTTCAATTTCCTATTATAATTGAGTTAATACCCAAAATCGTCTTTGACTATAGTGGTTTTTCTCAATTTCGTCATAAACGACTTTGGTGACCTAATATCATCCTAGAATTTTGTGTTTCGCTTAATTTAGTCCCAGATTTTTGTATTTTTGCTCAATTTAGTTCCTCATTTGTTATTCTGTCCATTTGGTGTTAAATAAATAGACAATTCAGTAATTTTAATATTGGTATCTTTTTACTCATAGACATGTGAACTGCAAAATCTTTTTTTTTTTTTTAAGAATTACTCCCAGAATAATTACTCCTAAAACTGCGAATATAAAATTTGATTTGCGGGAGTAATTCTGGGTGTAATTCGTACAAGAAAGATGAATTTCGCACTTCACAAGTTGAAATTAAGATACATCAATATTGACATTACTGAATTGTCCCTTAATTTAACACCAATTTGACGGAATAACAAATGGAGGACTAAATTGAGCAAAACACAAAAGTCTGGGATGATATTAGGTCACCAAAGTCGTTTAGGACGAAATTGAGAAAAACCACTATAGTCGAGCACGATTTTGGGTATTAACTCTATTATAATTTATAGAAAATCCAATAATATAAACATCGTTCAAATTAAATTTTGAAAAGCGAGTTCGTCACTCAAAATTTATAATCATAAACCAAAAGTTAAATTACAATTTGTAAATATATAGATTTCATGTGAAATTAGTTATTCTAGATGTTTACTTTTCATATAAACTTAGTACTTTTATACGGGGATTATTTGATATTCTTCAAATGAAAAGAAGGATGGATTGCCCTCGTTCGCAGGGCAAAGAGATGCAAAGTGAGAATTGATTAGTGTGACTATGATGTTTGTGCAATAATGCATTTAGGGATTTAATTTATCACCAATAAATTTGTATATTAAATAAGATTTCAAATTCGGATCGCATAAACTAATTTCTATAATAATAATAATAATAATAATAATAATAATAATAATAATAATAATAATTATTATTATTATTATTATTATTATTATTATTATTATTATTAAAGAGTAAAAAATGTAATTTGTATTTTTTTTTTGAATGCATGTAATTTGTATTTAAAAAAAAACAAAAGTTTGACAATAATTCAATTATGGAGTAATTAAAATTAGGAAAAGGTTATGGAGTCAATCGACATTGTACCACTCGTACATATTTTAAAGTCAAAAAGTAAGGATAACTCTGAAATGAGTGAACAAGTGATAGATGAGCTCATTGCACATGACCTTTCAGGCCCGTTTGGTCCACGAAAATATCTGTTGGAAAATAGAATTGAAATTTCATATAAAATCAATTGATCAATTACTATGAACAATTATTCTATTGTTTGGTTAGTTAAAAATAAATCATTGTAAACATTGATTTCATTGTTTGGTTTGATATGATTTAAAATTGTAGGGAATAATGAATATAAAGACTTATATACCCCCTACACAACAGTAATGATGAAAATAAAAATAAGAATGAATCACAAGGACAAAATAGTTATGTTAACTCATTTTCAATTCTCAAGTTCCATGAAGACAAAAAAAAAAAAAACAAAATATTACTCCCTTTCATTAGAAAACTTTTTACTCATAACTAAGAAAAACATTTTTTTTTTTTTAGAGAAAAAAGAATTTCATGAACCAAAACTTAAATCTAAGAAAAAAAAATTGTCAATCAAAACCTTACTATTTTACATATATTAAGATTAAGATTACAATAATTGAATGAATAAATATAATAAATAAATAAAATAAGCTAGATAGGTATGTAGTACCCGTAGTACATAAAATTTAATGACAGTTGCATGTTAGTTGAAGACATGCCCAGTTTGTATGGTTGAGGGAACTTGGTGAAAGCCAGAAAAGTAGTGTTGTTAGCGACATTTCTGAATCTTCTGGAAGCACTAGAAAGTGACATTAAATTTCTCAAACAACATGCGTAGTCGCTACCTGAATGTGTGTTTTATGTAAAGCTCACAACTCACAAGTGATTACAAAGAAATAAATCAATTTAAATTTTTCATAGTTGACTCGTTCAAGCCGAAAAGGTCAATAGCTCGTAATAATTCGTACTAATTCCACAAAAGTTGTTTGCTCAAACGAAATAAGGGTGTGTTTGGTTCACACATAGGAATCAAAATCAGAACCAGAATTGGAATCAAATACTTGGTAATGATAATAGATTTTGGTGAAAGTATTTTGCATGTTTGGTAGTAGCTAGGGTAGAATTTGAATGATTACCAATTAATACTGTTGTTTGGTTATGTATGATAATATTATAATAAAAAAATAAATGTTTTAAAAATACAAGAACAAAAAATCAAGACAATTTATTTGAATATAAACACATTCAAAGCATCAATATGAACAAAAAAAATCAAAAACACAAATCTAAACTTAAAAATCAAATTACTAATTAAGAGGTGAATAATGAAATGAAACCCTTATTTTATTAGAGAATAGCATAATAGTGTTCTAGAACCCTGTCAACCAAACAATTACAATGACTTTGATTCTCATTCTTGATAGATAAACCCATGAACCAAACACACCCTAAATTCCACCCATTTAAAAAATCAAGCCAAGAATGTTTTTTTTTTTTTAATGGAATCATACAAAAATTTGATTAACTCAGTTTTATTTAACGAAATGCAAATACGAGTGTAGTACGTGGAAAAAGAAAAAAGAAAAAAAAAAAGAAGAGGAAACTCATATTATTTTCTTTCATATGGTTGAAATTTGGGATCATTGTATGAAGATTGCATACTACAACGTGACAAGTCATTTCAATATTTTATTCTGTTGGGGTCAAATTAAGATGATTTTATATTCACACTGCACTGATATTTCTAAAGAAGTTTCCTAATTTGGTGTAGTATTGTAATTTATGAATATAAATGGATTAAGTTAATTTGATGGTATGAATATAATATATGATTTATATCATAATTCATACATGACTTATTCAATAAAAATACATAATATGTTTAATTCGATATTTCAGTCAACAAGTATAAATTTTATATACAATTATTATTATTATTATTATTATTATTATTATTATTATTATTATTCCGTAAAATTATTTAACAAGATTGAATCCAAGTGTTTGCAACAATAGATTTTGAAAAAAAATGAATATTACTACAAATTTTAACCAAATAATGTCGCTATATGAGGGTATGCATTAAGTAAATTATACTTATGTATAATAGCCTACAAGTCACATAAGAGAGGTAAACAATATTAGGAAGACTCAAAGTCGATTTTTGGCTCGTGCATAATGCCAAAGAACACAGGGACTCAATTTTAGAGGGCCCAAAAATTGACATAGTTGCTTAAGAAATATATATATATTTTTTTAAAAAAATCTGCAATTAAGCTCACATTCATTCATGCCTTTTTCTATATTGCCTAAAACTCATTTGTTTTTTCTTTTTTTTTTTCTTTTTCAAATCACGCACCACCATTGAAGAGGGCAAGATTCTTCCTTCCTCCATTAATTTTACAACTTTCTCCAATTCAATTTTCACTTCTCTCTCCTAATTAATTGAGTATGATTATATTTTTGATAGCATCTCATTTATTTACAAGATCTGGGTCACAAAAATTTAAAAGACAATCCTATAGAGACAACTTTGTAGACAACGTATGGACGAAAATGGGTGATTATATAATTAAAATGTATTATTTCTCTATAATTCAATGACAAAAAGTGTCACTTTCTCATTCCACTTTATATTTTTAATATTTTGGCCAATTGAATCATTTCATTATTGGTGTACAATTTAGTGTTAAATCTCATAATTAAATTTGTTCAATTTACCAGTGAAATCTGAAAACTTGGATGATCAAAATATTAAAAACATACATTGAGTGAATATATATATTTTAGGGGGTCCTATCTCAGATGGAGGCCCCAATGATGACATGCACCTTAAGTTAAGCTTACAAGACAAATACACAAAGTCATAGGATTAGCTATGCACATAAATGTTAAAAGCACGATAAACTAAAGCCCGACAGACACAAAATCGTGAAAACAAATACACGACAAAACAGATCAAACAACCATACTTTATATTCTCACCAAATTTCCCCTCCTCTACGTTTTAATCAAGTGAAAAAAAAAAATGTCTAATGTCCTTTTTAAAGAAAATTTATAAATTTGATTTCATTTTTTTTTTTTTTGGTGTCCTTTATTGATAAAACAGTGTTATTGCAGTTAAATTTTTATACTAAATCTCTAAAGTAATTATATCTCAAAGCATTTTCGTTGAGGAAAATTTCAAATTTTTCATGACCTTTTTGCGAGGTTATTATGGTGAGGTGGACGAGAGAGACATCCTAAGTTTTTCTGGCTAATTTTTTAGGGGAGAAAAAAAAAACGCGTAAGCTGCAACACACGTGCCCGCTAGCAACCACTTGCCTTTTTTTTTTTTTTTTCTTTTTTTTTGTAATAATTTTATTTTTCCTCTTCTCCACTTGACTATGCAAAAAGGTAAAAAATCCACGCAAAAATTTAAACCGATGTAGATTCTCTTCGACTTCGTGTGTAGTGGGTCAAATAAGGCCAATTGTAAAAAAAAAAAAAAAAAACACATAAGAAAATTTAACGTCGACCATCACTTCCTCAATTGTGCTGCTTGTGCGTCAATAGTCAAATTCAGAAGTAAATATTTTTCTCTTCTAGTTTAAATTTGAGCATATTAAACTAATTATACAATATTTGTTATATTATTTTTAAATAAATTAAAAATAAGACAACTGTGGTGCCATTGGTTTTTCAAATTTTCAAAAAAACAAAAGTTTTTAAAAAAAGTAAGCAAAAACAACATTTAAAAAAGGTAATTCTAACTAGCTGTTAGTCTTCCACTTAAAAGTTTCCGCTTAAAATAAAACATACTCCGTAATTTTTTTTTTAAAAAAGGGCAATAAAAATTATTTAAAAATGGAAATAAAAACAATTAAAAACCTGTACAGGTGTTCGCTTCCACGTCACAACTCACAAGCCTTCGTGTCGCCACTCTCTCCGCCTCGCAAAACTTTTGGAAAAAACAATAAAAATAAATAATAAAAAAACAAAAATTAATTAATTAATAATCCTCTATACAAATTCTCTCTAACATAAAAGACTCACGCACCCACTTCGCACCTTGTCTGCTCTCTTCTCTTTCTCTCTCTCCCCCCTCTCTCTCTAAAACTTCTTTTGTTTCAGTTGTTTCTCTCTCTAGAAAGGAAGCAGACAAATCCACGCATTCGGTTTCCCCGGCCTTCATTTTCACTGCGCACTCAGACGCCACACGCTCCGGACATGCCGGAATTGCACTCTCCGGAACGCGCCGTCGTACATTGATTCATCTGTGTATGTATATAGGGTTGTGACTGTGTGTAATTATATATAGACAGAGGTGTATGCGTTTGTATAGGAGACGAATTTAGATGAGGTGTAAGAAACACTTGTCCGACTTGAGCAGCGGCGTCGGCGTTTGCGCGTCTTGTCTCCGGGAGAAGCTGTTCGCGGTGATACTGACTCAGGCGCAGGCGCAAGCCGAGGCGCGTATTCAGCAGCGAACGCTCCAGGAAGAGGGGCGGAAATCCGACACCAATCCGCCGGTTCTGGTGTTTCCGCGCTCCGTTTCGCCGTATATTTCTCGCCGGAAGTCGGATATCTCCGCCTGGAATCAGCACCACCAGACCAGCCGCCATAGTTTGGCTGATCAGAGATTTTATAGTACTCCGCAAGTGGGGCCCAACGGGACGATCATTGCCGGGGGAGAGTACAGTAAGAAGAAGAAGAATTACAGCTTCTCGTTGTTTTACAATCTGTTTAGATCTAAATCTCTGAAGCCGGATTCGTGTTCGGATCCCAGGATTTCGAATTCGGAAGGCCCGCGTGCCGATACGACGTCGTCGTCGTCGTCAAACCAGTCGTGGTTCTCAACGATTTTCTCGGGTCGTCGGAAGAAGCAAAACCGGACGTTTTCGCTGGATGAGGAGACGATCGGAGGTCGGCGGATAAACTGTCAGAATCGCGATCGAGGAATGTCGCCGGCGAGGTGCTCCGACGACGAGGAAGACCAGCATTGCCGCGGCGGATCCAGCGGCTACTCCTCGGAGTCCTCACAGGGGTGGAAACAGACGCCGAGGCGGACTCCGGCCGCTCCCTCATCCCGGAGAGGAAACGGGAGATCTAGCCGCGGCCGGAACGTCTCAGGGATGACGTTTTGCTTGAGTCCGTTGGTGCGAGCCAGCCCTAACCAGCACTGGAACCAAAAGGGAATGCCGCCGGACATGGCGTACTCCGGCGAGCTCAGAACTCCGTCAAAGTCTCATATATCCAGTGCGACGTCGTTCTGCAAGAACAGATCGAGAAAACTTGCCGATTTCGGAAGGTTCAACTACAACCATTGATTACAGTGCAGCGCTGACATTTGACCACTTCGACAATTGCGACACCAGACCAGAACTCAACTGTAATAATACGTCAAAATGTCTTTTTTACCCTTGCTTGCTTTATACTCCGTAGCAGTCCATATTTTTACAAAAATATATATAAATTACTCCGTAATATATTTCCTCCCTTTATTATTGTTATTAATTAAGATTAAGAAAACTGAAAATTGTTGTATGCATTTTAACTATACCTAAAATACCCTCATCAATGTATTCCAGTTGGGTTCAAAAGAAAAGATTGTGTTAGAACTGTTGCGCACTGGTAAGAGCTTTAAATTGGCGTTGAGGGAGTCAGGGATTGCAATAAATGAGACTTTGACATCACATATTCTGCTACTACCAAGAAGCTGTATGAGTAAATACACTATGGTCTACACGACTACACCTCACATATATGAATTTTTGGATGGTGCCAATTCATACCGATGCTGATAATATCAAATAAACTATATATATACTATATATTGCCTCAGCGGTCATAGCCTGTTAGGTCTTAGGCGGAAGGGCCATTTTTTGGTATCTACATGTAGCCATCCCTATAAGAGATTGAAACTTTCACATTCCGAATGTCCAGACTCGATCATGTGTCCTTACCTGTAATTTAACTATTAAGGAATCAATTGGGCTATCTGTAATTGTATTGGGTTATTTTATTTTATTTTTGTTTTTTAACGATGAAAACCCACCGTCACTATTCGATAGTGTGCATTAGGTTTTTTTTTTTTTTTTTTAAAGATAGAAACACACTGACCCGGCGGCGACTATCTAATCCTTATAAATCTTGCTCCTCCCGCATCAGCTTGAAGAAGCTCATTCAGCCCGTCAGGTGGATCCTCCAAAATCTTAGCCCCCAAGTGACTGTTTGCCCAAGATTGGCTAGATAATTCACACATTTGTTCCCTTCCCTCATGACGTGAGTGAACACCACACAATCATAGCTTTTAGCAAGGAATTTGCAGTCCATGATTAGAGAGGAAAGAGTTTCCCCTCTTGAGAGTTCTCATTCGTTGCCTCAACAACAATTTCAAAATCTAGTTCAATGCAAAGTTTATGAAAATCCCTTTCTTTGTCGAGTCGTAAACTCTTACTTAGGCCCCACAGTTCGGCAAAGAAACTATTCGTATTTCCTACATATCCGTATTTCCTACGTTCACGACGCTAGATAAATTATACTTATGTGTAATAACTCGCAAATCACATTTTTCGAACCAAAAGTTCACATAAGCTTTGTTGTCTTTTATTTTGAATAGACTCGTTGATGATATACATATTTTTATATAAATATAAATCATTTAGACATGATACTCTCAAATATAATTCAAATGAAAATCTCATTCATAGCTTTTTTAGCAAATTATTTGAAAGCTCATTACCAAGAAATCATTGACACTAAAGTGCAGATTAAACATGAAAAAAAAAAAAAAAAGCAATAAAAAAATCAAGATTCCAAGATGTAAGCCCCAACTTCACAATTTGAATAACATCAATTTTCAATTCCCTCCTATCATTCTCCCTAGCTTTCTTAGCGCACATAACATAAAGATAGTCGCATCTGCTCTCAACTTCCACTTCTCACTTTATTCATCATTGGTTAGTCTTCTTTAACAATATTCGTAATACTATTTTACCCCTTTAATTTGAATGTACAAGGTTTGCTTTTTTGGGTACAACTACATACAACGTTCACTTTGGTGATTTTGTTCAATAACTCTTTAATTTAAACCACAATTTCCTATTTGTGCCTGAGAGAACGGTCAAGTGAGTGGAACATGATTATCGTACTTGAAAGGTGACAAGGTTTATTATTGTCAACACCTTCTCGGTCAAGCTCGTCACACAATATCTTCATAATATGTATTATGTAGCAATACCTAAAGGCTTTGACTGAAACTCAATTGGATTATATTAATTGACTAGTTGATCTAGCTTTATATTATCACACAAAACTGATATTATTTGTAATTAATTATTGAGTAACTTTGCTTAACTTATGATGGGTGATCAGTGTATGACTAAATAATGAAAATTCAAAAAGTTTTTGTTTTATAAACTTGTACGTCATGAAAGAAATATTAAGTACATGTAGGGATAAAAACATTAATTTAAAAAATTAAATTTGATTTTTTTGGGTATAATTTGCTATTCCCATTATTGTTGGTCCCTCTTCCACTTTTTTGGTTATTTGGCAATCAAGGGCTCGGGCTATACGTGCACAATTGAAATTCCCACTAAATATATAGTTTGCTATGACTAATACTCCGTACATAATAGATGTATACATTTTATTTCTTGAACACTCGAGAACACACAAGCTAGTTACATGAACGGAAATTAGTTTTATTTTCTTTTCTTTTATTTATTTTTATTCCCCCCACCCAACACTATTTGGGGATGCTCTTAGTGGATGAATGCAAAATATGTATCTTTTGTCAAGATAAAGGTGCCAAACAGGAGAAAGAAATAACAATAAAATCTTAATTCCCTCATTGCCCTCTAGTTTATTTTTTAATAATTTTTGAAACCCGAAAAGAAAACGCATTTAACAGTTTTAATTTTTTTTTTTTTTATTGTCTCATTCCCTTTCTCCTCCATTGAAGTTTGTTTTTCTTTAAAACTTGAAAATTCCTTAATAGAGATGCCTTTATAACCGAATGACATAATAAGTAAACGGCTCAATTATCACAGACGACACTTGAAACCTATAAAAAAAAAAAAAAAAAAAAAAAAAAGCATAGCATGCATAATCTAAATGGTTCCACTTGAAAGCAGGCCAAGTCACAACATGCCATGCTACCTTCTTCCATTGTGAGCAACAATGAAAAAACTAGGCATCAAGTCACCACACCCAAGATGGGCACAAAAATGTATATCTTTCTTGGCCTCCACTAGTGGGGGAGGGGGGCATGGCTGAAACCTTATGTGCTTGGAGGCTTCCCATATTGTAGCTAGTAGCTAAGATGTGAATCTTTTTCCTTCTCTTCATCTTATGAATGGTTGTTTCTAGTCTGGTTATCATGTCATCCAACCCCTTCATTGCTTCATTATATTGCTCCTCAGCTCCACAATGATTGTGGTTGAAATTTTGGACCAAAAACAATATATCTTTTCTTGTGTGTTTCTCCTTGTTGTTATTGTTAGTTGTCTCTATAATTTGGTTGTGTCACCTTTTTTTGACATTAGGGTTGCTTTCTCATGCACTGTTTCAACAGCAATATATATGGGTATGTACAAACATCCACACTTTTTTTTTTCTTTCTAGTTTTACGGAGTATTATTTTGCTTTTCTAATGTTGTTAATTGTTGCAATCCAAAAATATGTCAACTCAAAAAAACCCAATTGTTCGTGGCAGTTAGTTGTGTCGGTCCTAAACATTGTGGATGCGACGCCTAAGTCGAATCTGAATCAGTCTCACAATAATGATGATGATACCAAATGTTGTATGTAGAATAAAAAAAATAAATAAATAAAGTCTATTATTTTTGACAATTAGCAATTAGTATAGAAGTTTTAATTTGCCAACTCTTCTTACGCAACAAAGTCAAATTTTAATTAAAGATCCCATTTAATAGGCACATAAATATCAATATTTTCCTCTCATTTTAATTTCTTTCTCCTTTTAAATTTTACAATCCATCTAATTGAGAGAAATTAAAGTTATAAAATTGTGTGCATGCTTTTTAAATATTTTTTGGATGACGAGGGAAACCTACAATTTGTACATGAGGATATACATTGACTAAACCCAACTCAAGTGTAATAACTCAAATCACACAAAAAATGTAAATTATAAAAATATATATCCCATGCAAAGGACTTTTTCGAGAGAATAATATTGACAAAAATATAACTCATAAATTATGACATTTATATATTCGATAATCATGCTCCACCACTGTTTTTTGTAATACTTTCTGACGACAAACCAAGTAGTGATCATATAGGATATTGTAAAATGTTTTAACGTAAAAAAGAGACATGGTTGAAAATACAAGGATAATTAATGCATTAATTAACTTAGAAGTTTTGGTGATGGTAGTTGCATTAATCACCGAAACATTTATTTTGAATAGTAATGAAAAGTCTTTATGATTTTGTGTGGTCCATTCCTTCATTTATATCTTCTTACACTTAATTAATTTAATATGAACTTTTATAATAATTTATAATTTATTATAAAAGTTGATTTTCATTTTTATAAGATTGAATTGAACCCTAAACTTATGGGTATCTTTCCTTATCACTCCTACCCTGGAATTGAATTGAAGCAGCTATTTAAATGTGTTATGTGTCGGCCTTGTGACTTTAGCTGGCATTAGTGTAGGTTCTCCATAAGTAACCGATTCATATTGAGAAAGTCAATAAATGGTTCCCATAGAAGATAATTACTCAACTTACTTGACAAGATTTGCCTCCCACTATAAATATACGATTAGGGATATACCCCTTCCCCAATACATTTTATATACGGTTAGGGATATACCCCTTCCCCAATACATTATGAAGTTATGAAGAATTAAAGACTTGATATTAGATTAACATTTAAATAAAACATTTACAGGGCATTTGGTTGGATGGGGGAATTATGTGGGAAAGGAATTGTAATTCCATGGGAGTTGAATTACTGGGAATAAAGTGGGAATTTAAATTCCAGTGTTTGGTTGACAGAAATAGAATTACTGGGAATTTCAATTCCAATGTTTGGTATACATGGGAATTGAAAGGGAATAAGTAGTATAAAGTCAAAAATGTCCATTATTGTTGTTAGACATTAATTTTAAGTTAAAAAAAGAATGGATAATTTTGACTCATCACTATCTTTTTTCCTCATGAATTAAAATACTAGGGGGGACATGGGATTTTAATTCCATGAAAATGAGGGAATTGCAATTCCATGGAATTGCAATTCCCTCCAACCAAACTACGGAATTTAATGGCTTTTGGAATTAGGTGGGAATTA